GGGGGGGGGGGGGGGAGATAATTATATATTTCTATAGTGATTTTGGAGCAGTAATTAATTAACAAAGACGCAATGAATTTTTCACTGGTTTTAAAGAATATTTTGTGAGCAAGAAGACGTGCTAACAAACAAGTAGACTTGCCAACCGTCACTTGCGAATTTAATGTTAAAAATCTTTCGATTATTTTTATATAATTCCTGCATAGATACCAGGCGAAAAGTTTAGCTAGAAACTAGATCGACAATTTCAATTAAAAATATCTGGTTTTAGCGTCCTTACAGTGATATAAATCTTAATAATGCTTTTAAGTTTCAAAGTACATTTGAAAATCAATTTGAAACTAATATTCGTGCAGAAGTCTTAATTTTGAACCCAAATCATCACTTCTGTCTTCTAACAAGGCTTTGCTTTGCTGTTAGATGGCTTTTAGATTAAAATTGACACTAGATAATCGCGTTGCTATTGGTTGTCTTCATTAGCGAATCAAAAGTATTTTTTTATTTATTTATACTTAAACGCTTTTAATAGGCGCTGTGTTCATAGATTCATTCTAGGGTCGTAAAAACAATTTTTTTCCTTACAATATTATTTGYCTTATTGACAGAAATCTATGGACACCATTTCATTCAAGCCATTTGATTGTCTACCCTGTATTTGTTTTTTGCATTATTTTCCTTCAAACTTTGAAATTACGATTCACACGTCGGCGTTGAAAAACAAATCAATTTTTTAAAATTAATTTAGGCAAATTTTCCTTGCAAGAGTGACACAAATATCCGAACTGTGAATTYAAATCACCCACAATTGCAAGCGTTGTTCATCCTGGACAAGTCATTCGTACCAGACACAAGCGATTARATTACCTAGGTCTAGTGATCCTAACCACACTTTCTGGTCAAGATTGCATCTCAAAGATGTCTTCAAATGGTACGTAAGTTTAACAGCTTTTGTTATTGTATTGTTAGTAGAGAACTTGAAGCTTGAGTGGAAATTTGGGCTTTGTGGGTGAATGTTATAATGTTTTGATTTTAGTTGCTGTATAAGTAATCAAAATCTTCAACGCAGTGTCGAATGAACCTGAAAAAGCGGCCCTAGTTTGGTGCAAAAATTCTGAAAAAAGCATAAAAAGTGGYTTTCAATTTCATAGAATGGATTGAAATCTATTCATTGAAGAATAGTAGCCTAAATTTGATCATAAATCACTTCATAACCACTTCGAATTCAGTCCAGTAAGAACTGAATGGCGATAAAAAAAACATCCATTCTGCCTGACAAAATCTTCGCGATAAAAACGTGCATAATGCGTTTCCCAGTGGATAGAAATGTTTCTGAAATACAGATGTAAGAAAAAAACTACTTAAATGCCAGGGCTTTGATGAGAAAATTTGGCTGTAGTTTGAGATAAGGTTTAATAAACTCTTTCAAAAGAGAAATAAATAAGATATTGGATAACTTAAAAATGACAGAAAAAGAAGGAAAAAATAGATAAGTAATAAAAGCGAAGTAAATGGCTTCGTGAAGTTTTGACTTCATCTAAAGTGATAAATATCGTAAGGTGATAAAAGAACAAGTTTTGTCTTTTATCCTTACACAGGCCACCTCTCATAGATAAAAGCAAAATAAACGACGAGTTATGGTGGTTTGTGTCTTGATTAATCTAAGATAAGAAGAAAGTTTTGATATCTAGCTTTGTCGATACTGGCCGAACGAAAACTGCAATGAAATTTTTCATATGTGGTTCGTTTTAGTGTAGGACTTGCAAAAAGAAAAGAAAAAAAATGCTAGCGTTTGAATTTAAAAGGCGACATCTATGTCCAATACTCACGACCGAGRGTTAGAATGGAACGAAGAAATAATAAATAAATAAACGAAAGAAAGTGCGCGCGAAATAAGAAGAGAAAGACAAGAAGATGAACTGATAATCTCAAATCCAACATAGCAAACGAACTCTTAGCCCGAAATCCTCAGTGTATGCTAGCCATTCAAGAAAATCAAAAATTTTGACTTTTTGGCCAGAGTAATTAATATTTTGACATAAAGAACAAATGAATTCAAATTAATCTTTATTTGCAGTTTAAAGTAGTTGTAGAACAAAAGCCGTCAAAAAAATGCTACAGAAAAAATTGAACGACAAGCAAAAACAACCAAAAGGTTTTTTGTCCGGATACAACGTCGCCATCATGTGATAGCACTCGAGACCGAATTAATATATAAATTTATCGGATTGGTTTAAACTTATGTCACTTCTGATTAAAACAACATGTGCATACAAGATGTACGGGAAAATATGTATCTACAGTAAAACACGTGCCATGATTGGGAAGAAGTAAACAAATGCCGTTTGTTGATTGGTCAAGATTTGCCAGATATTCACATTAAACGACGAGTAAGAATTTAGCTATGACATACGCTTTTTGATTGGCTACACGAATGTATATGATGCGCTATTGCTGATTGGTCAAAYGTCTATTTAGCGAAAGATTGACCGAACGACGTCGTGTAGGCAGACAGTCCATCCTGTGAACTTGTCATAATCTCATCAGAAATAAAACTTATTGTCGTTCTTTATCCTAAAAAATTTTTCCTTCCGTCAATTGAAGTTTTTTTTCGTTTCACTAAGCAAATAGTAAAGATTTCACCATGTTTGCTTTCTTCTACATCTAAACATTCAGTTCGAAGATTTTCCGGGCCAAACGTCATGTACAAAAGCGAACAAAATCATTTAAAATTCACTTATGTCTTAAAATCTACGGTTTCAATTCCATCCCATTGTTCTTCTTCTTTTTCTTCTTCTTCTTCTTCTTCTTCTTCTTCT